TTTCTTTATTTGTTTTTGTTAGGCAGTATGAGGGGATTTATCTCAACTGAGCAAGGAAGAATATATGACAAAAATATTAACACTTAAATATCTAATTTTTATTTATACTAATTTCTCAAGGAAATGAAGTTTAATTTTAAATTCTAGTTTATAAAGATCTAAAAAAAAAGAAAATTAAGATATGAATTAAACAAATTCTTCTAACCATTTATTTTTTTGTTTAATTTCTGCTTCTTCTTCTTTGGTGAAATCATTAATTATTCCAAATGTACTTCTAAGTTCTTCAACACTTTTTCCTTTAATCATTTCAGCAATATATTTGCAACCTAATTCTAATAATACTTGTACATCCAAATTGTTTGCAGCGATAATTAATTCAAATAATTTTTGTTGATCCAAATCGAAGAAAGAATAGTCCCATGATGTTAATTGTCCTTTTTTTTCACTTTCATTTCCTCCAAGGAAAGGGTATTGGTGGTGATGGCTAATAAAATCTATCATTTTCTTTAAAGTCTCTTTATTTACTTGAGCCAATGGAATTATTTTCTCGGTTTGAAAGTCTTCTAATAAGTTTCTAACTGCTCCAATTTCTTGTGCAATTGCCTTTTCTACTTGAAAGTTCTCATTATCACAGCTAACTAATGTAACCGTAGAACCTGTTTCTGCCATATTATTGATAACTAAAATAATGAGTTTAATTTAATTTTTAAGTTTTTAATTTTTAAACAGCAAAGGAAGAATAGAATAAAATAATTAATTTTTTTATTTAAGTATAATTTCAATGTAGTGAGAAATGGTCACAATAAGGAAATTCAACAAAAGTCTTGACTTTATTCTCATTAAAAAGCAGAGTAATAATCATATTGTTATTTGTTTGATTAAATCCATGATGTACCTCTTTGTTAAGAAGTGGAGCTGAGTTATAACAATAAAGAACAATAACTTTAGGACAAGAACTATATGATAAGAAAGTATTTTTAGTGATTGAAAATTGAAGAGTACCTTGAATAATTGAATGATAGACATTACGTTGTTTACCATTAATTAAACGAGTAACATTAAAAGAGACAGTATCATAAGGGTCTAATATAGAATGGATACAAGCACAAATACCACCAATACAGTCATACACATTATCACTTGATAAATCGAAAGGAGAATTTTTATAGTTTTGTTGAATAAAATAATGTGGTTGAATTTTTATTGACATTTGATGAGAAGTTAAATATTCTTTTAAATTGTCTGTTTGAGTAGACCAAATAAGATATGGTATTGAAGGAAAAAGAAAGAATTTTTCTTTGTATTTGTCCAATTGTGAAAAAGGTATTTGAATGTCTAAAATATGAATATATTAAATAAATAAAGAAAAGAAAGAACAAACAATAACGATTTGTTATTTTGTCTAATTGACCTATAATACCTAAACATTGATATTCTTGAGATTCAAGAATAAAATGAACTTTTTGGTTATATATCTGAATAATAAATGGACTTAATAATGTTGTTTGTGAGATTATTTCACAATTAGGAAATAATTGTATTAATTCAATTAACTCATTTAATGTACATTCAACTTTAATCGTTTCTTTATTCTGAACAATCTCATGAATTAATTCATTTGCTTCATATTCAATAACATGAATCTACCAATTAACATTATATTTCTCTTTCTTTGTTTTTTTAAAATGAACTTTTTCAAACTTTTTGAATTGCATGAAGTCCGTTTAAAAAGTCAAATAAAGAAGTTTCTTCTAAAGAATACTCTTTTTCAACTCTTCTTGTCCTTTCAACTTGTGACTTTTTCATCTGAAAAAATCTTGTTCTTTTCTATGGTTTTATTTTGTGGTTATTTCTTTTATAAATAATAATTTCTTTATAGTTTTAAAATAACTTCTCTTTCTATTCATTTAAGAATTTATTAAAAATTGCGATCTGATACTTTTTTAACAGCACTGAATGCCTGGACATGTGTATAGAGGGTTCGAATCACTATACGACCAGAGACGCCTAAGGCAGAGGATAATCTTCATTTCGCAATATATTATTTTTTATTTTTTTTAAATAGAGTTATATATAATAAAATTAATAATTATGGGTATTAAATATTAATTAAATTAACTTAATTTTAAATTAAAAATTAAATTCCATTTCCATATCAAGTAGGTCAAACCCATTAAAAATGGTATTTAAATTCTTAACAAAATGAAACCCTTGTTTTTCATAAAATTGACGTGCAGTATTTTGTTGGTGACAATTTAAATGAATTTTTTTATAATGATGTTCTATTGCCATCTCTTTTACTTTATCCATTAATTTATGACCAAGTCCTTGACCTCTGAATGAAGGTAATAAATAAAAGTCATGCAAATAACAATAATCTTCTGAAGAATTGTATTCAATTCCTGTATAACCAAATAATTGTGAATTGACATAATGAAAAACAAATTGATAATTTGAATTAATTTGTTGTTCCAATTGTTCAGTATTGTATAAATATTTATAGATTGCATCTCTTGCCTCTTGACTAAGTAAATTGTTATTATAAGTTGAATAGAAAGTAATCTTCGTGATTTCTTGTAATTTTGGAATATCTTTCAATTGAACTACCTTTGATTCAAAATTCATTAACGCTGAAGAAAAATGTCTAACCAGGTTTGTATTTACAGTTCTATAATCTCTCTTGTAATAACCCTTGTTAAGCATTTCTTCTTCAAGCTTCTAAAAGACAGATTATTTTAAAAAAAATCTTCATTTTTATTATAAGCGAAACTTAAAAGGACTAAAAATAAAAACTCAAAGTCCAATAAGAATGAAGATATAGTAAAAGTAATTAATAATAAACCATAATAAAAATCAAAAGAAATTAAAGAGAAAGATAAAAAGAAGAGGCAACAAGAAATAAGAATTTACCAAAAAAAAGTTAAATAAAATATAAAAGTATATGATGTGGAATTAAAAATATTATAAATGCCAAATAAAAGGGTATAAAGAACAAACGAACAAGAAAAGTATTAAAAAAGAAGAATAAAATACAATGACAAGATATGAGAAAAAACAACAATTAGGAGAAGGAACATATGGTGTTGTTTGTAAAGCATGGGACACAGTTTGTAATAGATATGTTGCACTTAAAAAAATAAAACAAGAACGAGAAGATGATGGTATTCCAGTTACATCAGTAAGAGAAATAGCTGTATTACTTGAACTGAAGCATCCTAATGTAGTAGAGTTTGTTTAATATAAAATTAAATAAAAATAAATAAATGAAGATAAAAAAAGATAAAAAGAAAGTACTGATTAAAATATAGTTTATATGACATTTACTTAGAAGATAAATTCTTGTATTTAGTATTTGAATTTTGTGATGAGGATTTATATCAGTTTATGTCGAGGTCTTCAAAAATTCCAATAAATGAAACAAGATCAATTGTATATCAAATACTTCAAGGACTTGCTTTTTGCCATTATCATCAAATACTTCACAGAGATATGAAACCACAAAATATCTTAATTAATAAAAATGGAACAATTAAATTAGGTGATTTTGGTCTTGCAAGACTTACAACAATAAATGATCGTAAATATACTTCTGAAGTTGTTACATTATGGTACCGTGCACCAGAGATTCTTCTTGGGGCAACTCAATATGGAGGTGCAATAGATATTTGGTCTACTGCAGCTATCTTTGGAGAATTAATTAATAAAGAAGAATTGTTTAAAGGGAGATGTAAAATTGATCAATTATTTAAAATCTTCTCTCAATTAGGAACTCCAACTGAAGACATTTGGAATGGTGTCACTAAACTCCCTTTTTACCTTTCTACTTTCCCTAAATGGAAAGCAAAAGACCTTCATACAATTTTTCATACAGATGAACGTGCAGTTGATCTTTTACAAAAAATGTTTATCTACACCCCTGGAAAAAGAATTTCTGCTGCTGATGCTTTAAAACATCCATTCTTTGACCCTTTAAATAAACCAAATAATTAATTTTATCTTTAATTAAATTTTTTTTTATGTTTTTTATACCATTTTTAATATTCAAAAATATGTTATTATCTTTTCTAAAATTAAATGAATAATTCAATACCTACAATTCAATTATGCTTCAACTACTTCTCCTTTTTCTTCTGCAACTGGGGCAGCTTCAACTGGTGCACTA